TCTACTGGATCACTTTGATCAGCTGGTGGTATGAGAGGGACGTCATCTGGTCCATGGAGGACAGGGCTGAGGAGTTGAGGTCAGAGGTCAGATGCACCACAGTGAGGCTCAGACAGAGGAGAGAAGAAGAAGCAAATAGAAATCCATTAGTTTGTTTTGTTGTTTTTATTGTTTATATAAATATTTACATCTTATTTTTCCTTTTCATGATTGTTTTAGTCACTTATTATCCTCCTTTTCAAAATAAAATCATTTGCTGATTAAAACACTAAAACATATTAAGGCCTGTAATTTATCCACAAAAGATTTATGTTCAGAAATAGAAGCATTTCCATTTGTTCATCATTTTTCTGTCTTTCTCTTCTTTCTCTCTCTTTCATTCAACCTTCCAAACTTTCATTGTGTTTCTCAAGATCAACTCGACTCTTCATTTCTCATTTCTTTGCCTCAGTTCACTTCTTCTGCTTCTAATTATCTTTCTTTTTCTTTCTAAACAATCAGCTTCAATGAACCACCCACAGGAAAAATGACACTTTTTACCCATTCATTCACACCATGCAAACGTTTTCTCAATATTTCATTATTATATAGTGAACCAATTCACCCTGAGGAGGAGAAAGACCCTGGAACCACTCATACTAATTTCTTCTGAATAGGTGGGATTTCCACTTTAGACTGCAACGTCTCCACAGACTCCAATCAACTTTGTGGTCTAAGAGCATAATCGTATAAGAGGGTTAGAGTAGGGCACCATTATGTCAAGAGAATTCCATTCATTTCCCCCCTGCATGCGGAATCTGCTACTTTTGGCAGGGAATGCACACACTGGAATCTGGGCATCAAGTGAATGGGACATAATGGGGCATTTATGTATATTTGGGAACATCTGTTGTTGTATGCATTTTCCACTGGGTGGAACTCTTGTAGTCATGGTAAACGTCCATTATGAGATCTGAGAGGCTGACATGAGGGTGGACGTCTGACATATGGGTACATTGGATATTTTATGAAAAAGGGTGTGTGGGGGGAGGGACCTCCTGCCACAAGGGAGCATCGACCGTGACCTAAAGGAGCATTCAGACCTTTTCTTGCTTTCCGAGCTTAACCATGGTAAACCATGGGTGTGTGTGTGGTTTCAGGGGGTCCCCGGGTGGACTGGTCCCAGGAGTCCACTGGAAGTGTTTGGGGGAGGGGCAGGCTGCCTCGAGGGAGCATGCGCCATGTCCTAAGGGAGCATTCAAACCTTTTGTTGTTTGCAGATTAATGGGGTCCATTCAGAGTGTGTGTTGGGGTTTTGTGGGACCAGTGGTGTGGGTGTTGGTTCTTGAGCTCCAGGGGGTGGTCCAGTGGAGGTCCATGTGGGCTTTGGGTGCCTGAATCCCAGGTAGAGATGGTCCATGAGACCCCATGGTTCTGGAAAACCAAGGTTAGTTCAAGATTAATTTCTTGGGTAGTGTAGAGTTAGGCTTAGGGTTATGGGAGTGGGGTTATGTTTAAAGTTCCTGGTGGTTCCAGAGCCAGGGGGTTAGGTTAGGTTTCATGTATGTGGTGGTTCTAGAGTTCGCAGGATTTTTGACAAATTCTTGCTGGGTTCTGGTGCCCAAATCCCTGTTATAGAAGAGCCATAACACGCCTTGGTTCTGGAGAATGTAAATGCCTGATACCAAGGAGGATTCTTACATGCTCCCTTGGGTCAATATGCCTGTTGACACCAAGGAGGATTCAACATGCTCCCTTGGTTCACAATGCCAAGGGACCTGGAGGTGCCACCTGGCACCTCCAGAGCCAGGTGGGCTTTGGTGAAGGTTCTGCCTGATTCTGTTGATCCCACCCAGTGTATGGGATGGACAATGCACACTTGTGTTCCATTCAATGCATGGAAACCCTGCATTAAGCCCCTGTGAATGTCAGTTCTTGTATGTCAAAAATCCCATTCAAATCCCATTCAAAATGATACCCAAATGTCAAATCCACTATGTCAGAGATCCTCTTTCATGTCAACATTGCAAGTTCTCCAGAGTGAGTATAACAGTTCTGCTTGAATCGGTGCTTCCAAAAGAATCATGATAATCACTAGACCGCTGGAGCCAGGTTAACTAAAGTTCCTTGACATTATGGAGGATCTGTCAATGCTCCCACACGTCACTCTTAGCAGTTCCGGATTCTTTGAACCAAAGGCTAAAATCATTCTGCCCTGCATAATAGCCACTGGACTGCCGGAGCCACATGATTGACAAAATTCCGATCCCAAGAGCGTATTAAATTAACTAAACACTTAATTGAACAAAAATATCAATAAATTTAACAAAAAGGTGCTAGCAGATAGTGGAAATCAAACCCAGGTTTGATTTCCACTATATCAAACCATATCAAAAAAACCATATCAAACCATATCAAAAAAACCATATCAAAAAAATTCTAAAAGTGCAGAAGAGCTGAGACATTGTGCATATATTATACATTACGGTAGCCACCTGGGAAAGTTGGATATGAGCTTGACCAATCACAAGAAAGATTCTCCGTTGTCATATTTGTCACCCAACCTACTCTGTATTGTAACTCCTGAATGGTTGGCCACATTCAGAAAATTCCAAAAGTATTAGGAAGTCCATAAAATACGCTTTTCGACGGTGTATCACATGTGCATGTGGCAGCAGATTTTAGAGTAAATATTTTTGTAACAGAATTTCCCTGTGGAGCTTAATATTGTATCAGCGGAGTAGCAGTGCAAGATAGAGAGAAGACAGCAGACGACAATTTGAAATCGCACATAAAATTATGGAAATGTCTAAAAGAAAATCCACCAGACTGATAAAAGGTCCCAGAAGGCTGATATCTGAAGGCAGTGAACATGAGAAACATACAACCAGCGAACCAGGTTATGTAAAATATTTGTACAAGCTAACGTTAGTGATATGAATGCTACACAACTATTGGCTAACTGTTAGCTCCATCTTGATTTCTGCATAATTTGTGCAATAAATGTTTATTATGCTGAAAATAAAATCGTGGTCTTCCAAAAATAATGTCCTATGTAATATTTTTACCTAACATGATTTTGGCAAAAAGAAAAAAAAAAAATCACCACCACTTTTTTTTCTGCCTAATTGGGAAAAAAGCAAGAACAACAAATCAGCCAAGTGAGGGATTGGTGACCTGTCCAGCGTGTCCCCTGCCTCTTGCTCTTGACCACGGGAGATGGGTTCCAGCACCCTCTCACCCTAAGTGTGATAGATAAAGTATGGATGGATCCAGAG